TTTTTTTGGTAAATTAGATCCACTTGCTTCCCACATCAGATTTCTATTAATCGCTCATTTCTTGAAACGGTCCTATTTCAATTCTTTCCGGCCTAGGGAAAACCTTTTAAGATGAATATATGTAACTGTTTTGCTCTTACACATATCAATTTTAGATCCAAGGTACAGAAAAGCCAGTCGACGTTTTTTCAAAGAGGTAGAACTGTATATCCAAAACCCGGATCTAAAACAATATCTTATTGTTATTAATTTATTGTCCAGTTCTACCTTTGATATTAATGCCAAATTCTGTTGTTTGTTAGCAACATGATGAGGATTGATTTCTATATGGCAGGTTACTTTGATTTTAAAGGCCTATGGTAATATTTTTACATCAAAGGACGATTCTCGGTTTGGAGAACGAAGTTCATCAATCTAAATGAGCGTTATCCCTGCTTCGGACAAATTTGATTTTTTTACATAATATAGATTTGACTGTCTTCTTTTGAATAGTCATAATTTAATTTGGGTAATATTTCTAGATTTTTCGCAAAAAAATATTAGCGCAGTACACTGATGAACTTCTTTCCCCAAATCGAGACGTTGTATTTTATTGAATCGGTCTAATTGAGCGTTATCCCTGCTTCTGACCAATTTGTTATTTTTAAATCTTGTAGATTTAAATGTCCTCTTTTGAATATTCAGAGTTTAATTTGGGTAATATTTTTATACTTTTCATGAAAAAAATTATTAGCCCAGGAGACTGTTCTCCAAACCGAGAATCGTCCTTTTATTTGTTTATCTGTGATATCTAAAATGAGGAATTAAAAATAGTACTTCATAAAACCTAATGCATAGACTGCAATCAAGGCCCGGAATCGAGGTCTCTTGAATATCATACCCGTAAAAAACCAAAAATGCAATCAAACAAGTATATACTAGTATTGTGTGGTTAAGATCAATGATCAAGGAAACCCATTCGTAGGATTCATACTTATTGTTGATTTTTTTGTTTTCAAGAAAAGGTTTCGTATGCGTATTGATATTGTCCTTCGTAATAAAACCCATATTGAGTCCCTACCAGTAAATAACCACTATACATTTGCAAAATTTGGCCGCCATAGAATATTTGGGAGTCTAGGCAAGATACATGGACCATGTTAATGATCATTCAGCACTGGTACAAACGCGTATTATCCCATCCTTTCATCATCAATCCCTTAATTGATTTATAATAGTGAGCTTAAACCAGATTTAATCATCTCCCTCAGACTTATACAAATCCTGACTCAGAGTACGTAAAGGATTGGTACACTGTGTGCATATCATGTGTATCCTGGCGTCAGGATGCATACATGATTCGCGCACAGCGAGCCTATCCTGTGTGAATCTTGACTCAGGATACCTGTATGTACAGGATTATCACACTGTGCATATCCTGTATGAATCTAGGCTTCAGGATTCATACAGGATTGGCACACTGCGAGCGTATCCTGTATGAATCCAGGAGGCAGGATTCTTACTGGATTCCTACACGCGCCAATCCTGTATAAATCCTGATACAGGATATGTTCAGGATATGCACACAGTGTGCCAATCCTGTATGTATCCATCTGTCAGGATTCATACAGTATTCGCTCACAGCGAGCATATCCTGTATGAATCTTGACTCAGGATACGTACAGGATTGGCACACTGCGTGCATATCCTGTATGAATCCAGGCGCCAGGATTCATACAGGATTGGCACACTGCGAGCGTATCCTGTATGAATCTTGACTCAGGATACGTACAGGATTGGCACACTGCGTGCATATCCTGCATGAATCCAGGCGTCAGGATTCATACAGGATTGGCACACTGCGAGCGTATCCTGTATGAATCTTGACTCAGGATACGTACAGGATTGGCACACCGTGTGCCAATCCTGTATGTATCCAGGCATCAGGATTCATACAGGTTTGGCACACTGGGTGCATATCCTGTATGAATCCTGATGACAGGATTCATTGTATTCATACGCATTTTTTGCTGTGATTGTTTTAAAAACGTTTCCACTACAGTGTTTAAAAATGCATCAAATCTTTGTCGTTTTTAAATACATCTTCCAAACAATGTTCCCCAACATAATCCACTGTTTATTTCTTTGTTTTGGGGATGTCTTAAATACAATATGGATACCATTTTGTTTTTATATACAGTAGAGCAATACGCTCATATTTTCAGATCAAATGATGAAATGTAACATCCCCTCAAAATACTTTGGTAGCGTGGTTAAAAGAGAGAGGGATGTTTTTGGTTAAATTATGAATTTTATTCTGAGAAAATTATGGGGAGTGTAGAGAATCTTGCTAGGATGAGATGAGTCTAATCTAAATTTGGACTGGAATGATTTATATCAGGATAAGTTGCATTACATGTCACTAGGGGGCATTGTCATCACTCACTACACCATCCTCTTTACATTATTTTGGTCAACAGAATAATTAAGTTTGGTTATACAATAAAAGGAGAGTATATATTTTAATATAAGTAGAAAAAGTACAAATGAATTTTGATTCATAAATCACAAGTTATACAAGGGAATAACAAATCAATTCCAGATAAGCAAAACCTTCAACATTACAAAAATATAATTTGTGTATACTAACTAGAACTGCTTGTTGTGAACAACGACATATAAAACATATGTCTCTGTTGTGAATAGAACAATACTACCAGGCCCGTAGCCAGGATTTGCAAAGGGGGGGTTCAATTTTCAAAAATTTCCAGGGGGGTTCACATTTGACAAATCTGGCGCAAATTAGGCTAAAATCACTTGAGAAGTGCTCAAAATGGTCAAAAACTGCATGATTTTGAAAGAATTTTTGGCCAGGGGGGGAGTTCGCCCGAACCCTGCGAACCCCCCCCCCCCCCTGGCTACGGGCTTGACTACAGAATACCGTACCAATATTTTCTGCATTGCTATGGAGATGATCAACGGGGACAATCTCAGTAGCAATACAGATTGGTACAGCACAAGAACTGACCAATCAGAGAGCTTCATTTTACAGACCATACGATAATAATTCGTGTTGAATGTAAATAATATGATTTTATTACTCATGTCTATTGAATACTATTCTTTGGAGACCACTATATACGTATATTGTGCAACTGATATTGAAAATGTTAGCTCTCTGCAATTGATTTACGTTACAATATAAGCATACCATATGTTCAATGCTTGAGATTCTTTACAATTAGATAACCATGGCGGTGTCCAATATACAAGCAGAGATGCACTCCTTCGCTCTGCCAAAATGTATTAAATTGAGGCAATGGTCACAAAAGATTCACACTCAATGATTGAATCGATTACGCGATTGAATCGATTACGCGTAGTAAAGTTTGTAAATAAAATTGAGTTTCTGCACCAAGCTTGATTATTAGATGCTCACCCGATATATCAAATTCATCCTCAACTTCCCCAGAATCAGCAGTACCATCAAACAAATGTAAGGGAACCTCTTCAGGAAAATCAGTAGACATACCTAATCAGAAGTTGGGAATGTTTTAACCAATCCATATAACAATTCTTTTATGCATATGCATTAGACTGAATAGTTATATAGTCTTTATATAAGATATTGGCATCATGGTCTGATATTCTGCTGCTAAAATATGGACTTTTCAAAAGTTCTATCGAGAGTAAAAATGCTTTTTTGGCATTAAAAATTACGTATAAAAATGATTATGTACATTGGCAAAGACGATTTCACCAAATTTCTAAATTATTGGTTTTATTTCCTTTACAAAATACAAGGCTTATATAGGACAAATTAATGACAACAATATAGGAACCTTATAGGACTTTACGTTGTATTCTTTAAAAAAGGAAAATACTATTAGAATTATTTTACACCAAATATTCTTGAAAATATGAAACATACAGGGTGGGCCAAAAAACGCCACTTTTTTCAAAATGCTATAACTTTTTTAATTTTTGATACAAAATCATAATTTGCATACCAAATGAAACTTGAGGATGCTATCTAGCCATGGATTATGAATTGTACACTTTTACTTAAATAAAATGTCACCAGCGTCTCACTTAAACATGTGGTGTGCCATGAGAAATAAACATAATTTGCAAAATGTTCCTGAACTGATACGGCCTGATGACCACCAAGCTAATAGTCCTGATGCAATCCTCAGTGAGTATAGGGTATGGTAAGGTCTCCAGGAGATGGTATGAAGGCACCCAATCTAAAAAATTGCCCAACTAAAGCTGGCAATTAAGACAGGTTGAGAGAACCTTAGCAAACATTTCACCGAAACTGCTATATCCGCAAGGCAACTAAAACTAAAAGCTATCATCAAATAGGATGGCAGATCAATTGAGCTCCTCTTTTAGATCAAATATAATTCAAGTTGAAGGGCTTGTTACATTATATTATTACAAAGAACCCCTGGCACTAGATAACTGCAAAATTTGGGGTATATAGGTTGGAAAATAAAATAAATTATAGTGTCTTGAAATAAAAGTGGCGTTTTTTGGCCCACCCTGTATATATAAATATATGCAACGATTATAAAATAATATTTTGTACACGTATGTTGCAATGTTACTTTGGATTAAACTGAATTTCATTATGCAGCATTTTGATCTCTTGGTCCAGTCTCTGATATTCCTAAAATTACACAGATGATGGAATAATAAATATAAATATCTCCAAACTGACTGACCATTTAACAAATAGTATTCAAAAAATAAAAACAAAAACCTCCCAAAATAGATAAAAAAAATTCAAGTAAATGTTTTATTTCATTAACAAGATACTTTTTTTAAGTGAAGCAAACTTTCCTTGGTCAGATTTGAGCTCAGTCTGTCAACTTACAAAGAATTTGATGCAATTTACACTACAGCAAGTTTAAAAATTTCATTTTTGACCTTCTCAAAATCTGGGAAAAATTGGTCAAGACGACAATAGGCTAACATGATAACATTTGATAACATTTGTTTTGTTGCTATATCTTCAGGGGGAGGATCATACCTCAAGTTTGCTCAAGAAGCAATGGCGGTTCTACATTCTGTTGTGGATGAATACAAGATATTGAAAGGAGTGAAAAGAGTTCGCCTTTTGGATATACCCTGTGGAGATATGCAATGGATGTCCCGTTTCCTAGCAACAAGGGGCGACATAGACTATTATGGGATGGATATAGTACCTAAACTGATAGAATTACATAAGGAAAAATTTAAAGACGAACCTTGGACATTCAAGCAGCATGATATTGCAAAAACAGCCCTTGTCGAATCTTATGATATCATTCATTGTCGTATGATGCTACAACATTTGCCTGTGTCTGAGACACTAAAGGTCCTTGAAAACTTCTCCCGAAGTAAATCAGGTTATCTTGTTACGACTACATTTCCGACAACATCTTCACACAAAAAAATCCATGTTGGATCTTTTCAACCCCTTAACCTTGAAATTCCCCCCATATCACTCCCTCCTCCATTATGTTACCAAAGAGACGGAGATCATACTAGACAGGGGCATCACTATATATCAGTTTGGCCATTACCACTGAAATACATTGAGGATTGTAACAAAGTAGCAATGAGTGTGCTACAAGATAAGAAGAATTTGACCATTTATACATGTATTTGAAAACAGTTTAAGATAAATCTAAACTATAGCTACCAATGATTATAAACGGGTCGTTACAGAATATAACTCCTATGTTGTGAGATGCTTGTATGTGCTAAAACAGTGCAAGTAAATAAAATATTTTATTGATTTGTAGAATTCGAAATTACATGTTGTATACTTTGAATCTTAGCTTTGATCGAGTAACTTCGCCATGCCCCATTTGATAGAATATCATGGATCTTTTGTGAGTTTCCGACTTTGTCATCCCTATATATTGTCCTATGTGAAGTATGTTTTATCTTTGATTCTGCCTTTAATAACATCACAGTTAGTTGCAATATCAAAGTTGCACTGTCAATATATAGATAGCGCTTATTTCACTAATAATGTATGAAACAGTTCACGGTGTTATAGCATGACAGTTACGTCAAGGCGATTTGCAAAATTTTGCGGTAACGATAACAAAAAATGGCGAATGGGAAAGACAGCAAGTCTTCTTTCTCGCCTGTAGGGAAGATTCACAGATAAGATTTCGGTGATGTATATATGGATGATTATAAAGACTGGGTCAAATCTGCCAGAGGGTTTACCTAGAAGCAGAATATAAGCTGTAAACTTACCGACGGAGATATCATAGTTCATAATTTTTAGTCCATTCCCGTGTTTTCTCAGTATATGTGCCTCAAAGCCACTCAAACTATTGTAGCATTTGCAGGGTATTAGAATGAATAATATTATCTCTGTGTTACATTTCCTCCCGTTCCTTACCTTCGTTCTTTGAGTTTCCATTAATTACTTTTCATCTCAATAATTTCTAGCTCTAAATTTCTATTCTAAGTGTCATTTTATCGTCATTGCGTATTCTACAGTATAATTTTTAGTGCCTCTCAATTTAATGTTCCATTCTCTATCTTTATTATTGTATTTAACTATCATTCTAGTCAGTATATGTCTCAAATATTCAAATGTATGACAAAAATTCATAATTCTTAATATTTCCATGGGCGCCGCCATTTTCTTTAACTTAACGCATGCGCAAGGCAGGATATTGGCATTTATTATAAAGCTGAGCATGCACAAGTCGCAATATTAAAATTAATCATAAAGTTACGCATGCTCAAGGAAGGACCATATAAATAATTGTACATATACGCATGCGTGATCTGTGAACTAAGAATTATTTCGTCTCTAGTTTGGCGGCATATTTAAATACAGCCCGGGAATATTATAGAAGATTCTTTCTCTAACACTGACCAGACTAGACACCAATTCCTGTATTCTGAGAATCTGCTGAGAACTTAACACAAGATGTAAGCCAACATGTAATCAATGGGGGGCGGGGAATTGTAAATAAATTGTATATAATGTACATAAAATAATATTTGTCAGTGAATTGATCTATTTGATGAGAGATTAGAATCTAAGGATTCCAATATGAATTCCTGCAGGTTGCTGAAGTCCTCCTTATCCAGATATTATGCCCCGATCCAGTCTGGGCATATTGCATAACGTCACCACCAGTAAAATTAAAGCATCTACTCCGGCTCAGTATCAGCCCTTAGTGTAGTAGTTGCATCCTGATTTTCCTACTTATCCCCAACTTATACCCTATAAGGTGTTAAAATTCAGCTTTCCACTACAGAGATCCTGCCATTATAATTTATGCCCGAATGCATTCACATTAGTTTCATATCAAATTTAGCAAACTCTGCAATACTCAATCTTACAAACAGAAGTAACTTTGAAACTCCAACTTATTGCATCAATAACATATGCATGTACATGTACACGCCTATGTGTGACAATAAATTCACTTATTTAGTGGCGAATTTCATATAACTGTACATTTACCCGCCTATGGGTGCATATTGTTCTTGTTGCAATTTACAAATGTGAAGAACTTAAATCCTGCATCTTTTTGCTAATAAACCTAAGTACAAATCACTTTTTACTTATAAACCCCTTATTCTAATACTTATACAAGGTTTCACAGTCCGTACCACTATGTACGACTTATTCCTGTCTATATATCCCAGAATTCATTTTACAATTTCAAATTACACAATACTCCAGATGGCGCCACCATTTAAATTTCTTAACGGTAATATTCTAACAATCACCACCATGTACAACGCGGCACATGCTACATTTGGTGGCAGCGGTGGGATCCCTAACCAGTGCGGTGAATTTTGCCGTTTCAATCGCATCGCCGAAGGTCATCTTAGTTTTGTTTTATAGATGGCTGAGAAGACTCAGGCAATCCGAGTCGATAGTGAAATCTCCATGATGATCCAGAAACCTACTAACAGCGATGCTGATTCCATTGAAATCCAGGATCTTGCTGACGGTGATCAACATGACACCGTTGCGGAACATGGAGATGATGGTGGGTGTAACATCACGGAGGAAGAGGTATCCAAGCGGTTATCTGAAATACAACAGTGGAAAGCAGAACTTTCAGCAGAAGAGAGTAAACTACTCAGCCATCATGCATCTGCTGGTAATACACCACAAAATCTCCAGAATACTTCAGCAGCCTCCAATTCAAGTTATTTAATGGACAGCAATGTCCCTCCAGTTTCCAGCATGCCAAGCACCACTACTGCTGTATCTGCTCCATTGGTTGTGAGCACTCCAAGAAGTTTGCTGAACTTTGTCTCTCATGTAAATACTCCACCTGTAAATACAATTAGTGTTATCGATACAAATGCTGCAGCTGTAAATAATATGTATACTACTAACAACCAGAATAACCAAAACAACCAAAGAAATTCCAGTCACTAATGTGTGATGTCCAACCCCAAATTGCATAGAGTTCATCCCAAAGAAGTTCCATTAGTAAAACAGACACCATTTTTGCCTGTTGCCACTATGCAACCCCCCTCCCGCAAAGAACACAAAGTCCGTCCATATAATGGAAAATCCAGTTGGCGAACGTTCAAGTTCTCTTTTGATACCATAGCAGATGTCAATGGTTGGGATGACCCCCGCCGTGCAGTTGAGTTGTTGACGTGCCTTGAAGGGGACGCCCAGAAGGTGTATGACATCATCGAACCTGCACGTAAACTAGATTACCATTATGTATCTAGCTGCCTGAATGACCTGTTCAATCCCAACCACCAAGAAGAAAAATACAGAAATCAATTGAGAAAGAGGCTGAAAAACAAGGGTGAAAGCGTCAATTCCCTTGTCTATGACATTTTACGCTTAGCCAATTTAGGTTATCCTCACTTACCTGAGGAGTCCAGGGACCAGTTTGCTCTTGATTCCTTCAAACATGCCCTCAAAGTTACCGATAGCCAAATGAGTTACCACATATTCTCCAAAGCCCCGACTACCATGCGTCAAGCTTTGGATGCAGCCCTACAGATGGAAGGGTTTGCCGAAGATTCATCCACACCGATCCGTGCCGTCACCATCAGTGATCCTCAGTCAGCCGAGCCTGATCCAATGTCAACTTCAGCCTTTAAGGACCTAGCCGTGAGAATGACCCAGTTCCTTGATCGAAAGCCTGCTTCAGATAGATGTTTCTACTGCGGCCTCCTGTTCCACAAGGTTGCTAGGTGCCGTATCCGGAAGGATGATTTAGAGAAGGGGCACATAAAGACTGATCATCGTGAAAAGAGACCAGCCCATTTATGGCCCAACTCTAGTAAAGCTTCTTTAAACCCAGCCGGAGTGTCTCAATAGGCCATGAGATGCTCCTCCATCCAGAGGGGATCAACATCATAAGTAATGTTAACCATGTAAATATATCCAAGAGTTCTACCAAATACGATGGATTGTGTTTGCCAGTTGTTATTTGTGGTGAAACAATCCAATGTTTGATAGATTCCGGTGCCAAGGCCAGTATTATGAGCCTTGAGGTATACCAGACTCTCAAATCCCCCCTGAGGCCTATTCTAAGTATGAGTCCACAATGTCTGAGATCTGCAAATGATGGTGTTATCCGCACCGTGGGCACTGCTGATTTTTCCCTGAAATTGTCTGATGATCGAAGCGTAGAAGTTCAGATGATCGTTGCTGACATCAAGTCTCCAGTGATATTGGGCTATGATTTCCTGTCACAGCATTCCTGTCTACTTGATTTTGGTCCAGGGAAGCTGTTCATTGATGGGATTGGTTTGGAGTGCCTCCTTGAAAGTGAGATTAATGAAGGAATGAAGGTATGCGCTGTTGGTTCCACCGTGATACCTCCTATGACGGAGACAATCCTTGAAGGTCGCTTGTGTTGCCATGGTGATATTTCCGGGAGTGTTGGTGTCTTAGAACCTCCATCTCATCTTGACCGGGAGTTTCTGGTGGCACGAAGTGTCATTGATTTACACTCCCCCCTGGTTCCAGTCAGAGTAGCCAACATAACCAGTCAACCACTGAAAATCCAGTCAGAATCAACAATTGCCCTTTGTGAACCTGTTGAATGCCTGGAAGAATGCGTTTCTCCGGGTGAGTCTGCTGATTGTAATATCCAAGCTGTGAACATAGAGGGTGATCTGCCTGACCATCTTCGAGACTTGTATGATCGCAGTTCCATCCACTGTAATGCAGAACAGAAGCTGAAATTACGTAACCTTCTGATGAAATACTGTCATGTTTTTGCTAAAGACAAGGCTGATTTGGGTAAGACTGACCTGGTAACTCACTCCATAGATACTGGAAACAGTCGACCCGTGAAGATACCTCCCCGAAGATTACCACTACACAAGCGGGAAGTTGCCTATGCTGAGGTATGCTGAAGAACGGGATAATAGAGCCATCTACTAGTCCTTGGTCATCTCCAGTAGTCCTGTGTAAGAAGAAAGATGGCACTGTACGCTTCTGTATAGATTTCCGTTTGGTCAATGATCTGTCAAAGAAGGATAGTTATCCATTACCCCGAATTGATGACTCCCTAGATGCTCTCTCAGGCAGTCGGTATTTCAGCTCTCCCGATATGGCGAGTGGATTTTGGCAAATACCGATGGACCCGAACGATGCTGAGAAGACCGCATTTTCTGCTGGCAATGGGCTGTATCAGTTCACTGTAATGCCGTTTGGGTTATGTAACGCCCCTGCCACATTCGAGCGTTTGATGGAGAAAGTGCTACAGGGCCTTCATTGGGAGACTTGCCTGGTTTACATCGACGACATCATTGTATACTCCCGCACGTTTGACGAACATCTGGACCGCCTTGAAGAAGTGTTGTCGCGAATTCACCGTTCCGGAATGAAAATTGCTCCAAAGAAATGCAATTTCCTGACTGAAGAAGTATCATTTCTTGGACATCAAGTATCTGCAGATGGTATCCGGCCCAACCCTGATAAGGTTAAAGCTGTTAAAGAATGGCCTGTGCCATGCGGTGTCAAAGCAGTTAGAAGTTTCCTGGGAACGTGTGCTTATTATCGCCGCTTTGTGAGGAACTTCTCCCATAGAGCCAAAGCATTGGTGCGACTGACAGAGAAAGACACCACATTTGTCTGGTCTCCAGAATGCCAGTCTGCCTTTAATGACCTGAAAGAAGCTCTCCTCACCGCTCCAGTATTAGCGTATCCTGTGATGGGGGTGCCGTTCATTGTTGACACTGATGCAAGTGCGTTTGGTGCTGGTGCGGTGCTGTCCCAAATTCTTGATGGAGCTGAGAGGCCTGTTGCTTACTACAGTCATACGTTCAGCCGACCGGAGCGTAACTATTGCGTAACTCGCCGTGAGCTCCTGGCCATCATCTTAGCGCTGAAGAATTTTCATCATTATGTATATGGTGTAAACTTCAAGATCCGCACCGATCATAGTAGTCTTCGTTGGTTGATCAACTTTAAATCTCCTGAAGGTCAAATGGCCAGGTGGCTTGAGATTTTGGGGACGTATGACTACACCATTGAGCATAGACCGGGCGTCAAACATGGAAATGCTGATGGCCTCTCCCGTATTCCATGTGGCCCCTGTGACAAGTGTGTCCGGAAATCAGAGAAGAATGCTGAGCTTACCATAAACAGAGTAACCACCAGACGGGCTGAAGAGAATTGGTTGCTTCCAATGTCCAGTCTTGCAGAGGAGAACCGCACCGATCCAGTGCTGAGTGAAGTCTGCAATTGGGTGAAATCCAAAACCAGACCCTCTCAAGATGAAATTGCTCCTCTTAGTCAATTGCACAAGCAACTATGGGGACAGTTTGATGCTCTGGTGGTGGAGAATGAAATTCTCTGTAGGAAGGCTAGGACCTCACTCGATGAACCCCTACTGCAATCCATCCTTCCCAGGAAGCTCCAGCGTCCAGCTTTTGATGCCTTACATGGTGCAATGGGACATATGGGAATCACTCGAACTATTGAGAGGGTCCGTTCCAGATACTATTGGCCTAATTACAGATCCGATATTGAGAATTGGTGTAACCAATGTTCCAGATGCCAAGCTGCTAATAATCCGAACCGGGCGCCTAAAGCTCCACTGAAGTCCTTTCCTGTCGGAGCTCCTGGTGAACGCCTCTGTGTGGATATTCTGGGACCGCTGATTCCAACCTATCAAGATAACAAGTACATCCTGGTACTTGAGGATTCATTCACTAAGTGGCCTGAAGCAGTACCCATGGCTGACATCACGGCGGAGACGGTAGCCGAAGCACTTATCCACTCCTACATCACTCGGTTCGGTGTACCCTTGCAGTTGTTAACAGATCAAGGTCGCCAGTTTGAGGCAGAACTCTTCCAAGAACTCTGCACTCTGATTGGTGTCGATAAAAAGAGGACTACAACGATGCACCCCCAGACAAATGGGTGCTTGGAGCGAATGAACCGCACCCTTCAACTGATGCTCCGGAAGGTGATTTCCCTGCACCAACGTGATTGGGATGAGAAGCTTCCATGGGTCCTCTTTTCATATCGTTCCTCTATCCATCGGAGCACTGGATTTTCTCCCACGAGGCTTATGCTTGGCCGAGAAATGCGGTTGCCTATTGATCTGCTCCTGGGACCTGCACCAAAGGGCCACAATCCGGTTGTTTATCAGACCTATGTGTCTGAAACTAGAGACGCTCTCTGGATGGTGGAGGAAGTCGCTTGTCACAATCTCAAGAAATCTGCAAGACAACAAAAACACCACTATGACAACAAGCTTGTTTACAACAAATATCAAGTTGGTGATCCAGTATGGTTGCACTCTGCAGTAAGAAAGCCAAATCTGTCACCAAAGTTACAGAACAAGTGGGAAGGACCTTATCAAATACAGAAGAAATTATCAGATCTAGTATTTGAAATATCCCGAGATGGGAAAATGAAGATTGTGCACCATAATCGTTTGAAGCCATTTTTGGGGACACTTCCAGAGACCAATCAAAATCCAGCAGCGTCTCTAATGACTCATACAGAATGACCTGATTCGCCGATCCTACCAGAACCTACTGCAGGGATTAGTGGCACTCCGATGAATTCTGATTGTATTTTCCTGTCCAGTTAGATCTGAAATAAAATAAACAAACTGTATTAATTGCAAATAAATGTCATATATCATAAAACATTTGTTTTGTGTCATGATATATGTATGCTGCTCCAGTATATATTATTATGTCCTGAATATCCAGCCAAAACCTGAGGGAATTCACAAATGGAAAACTTCAATTTAACTTTTAAAAAAAAAACATCAATAGAATAACATACATGTAATGTGTACATGCCGATATGATAAAATTGATACACATTCTTATGATCGTTTTACCTATGTTTCCAGGGAAGGAAACGTCCTAAAATCCAGGGTTCATGTTGTGAAGTCCAAGCCTAGACGGACTTATCCTGAGCGATCCTATCCTGAGAGATACTATCCACAAAGAACCTATCCGGAGAGAAGGCCTGTTGGGAGACCGACTAACGCATCCAAGCAAAAGACGGTGCAGTGCGAGAAGTGCCACCTTGATTTCAACACCTTGGCACTGTTGCATGCTCACAAACAGAGGAGGCACCCAAAGGTCCGAGTGCCTCTGACCTGCCACAAGGACAATTGCGGTCAAAAGTTCCAGTACTTGAAAGGCCTGAAGGCCCATCTGTTACGTAAACACCCTCACACAACCACAGAGGCAATTATGCCACTTGCGGCTACGTCCCAGAAGGCGACTATGCCAACTGCTGCAGCCACAACAGAGGCAGTTATGCCGATTCCAGTTGCCAGTAATTCACCGGTGTTGGAGCATCCAAGCCTGAGTCCCCTTCAGTCTCCCGCGAGACTGGACTTCGGGTTTGAAGAGGACGACCTGACAGCCATAAACCCACAGGAGATCCTCTCAATCGTGCAGGATGAGAGGCGTGTTGTACTTACCAATCACAGCCAAGAGGGGGCCGGGACCATGCCCCGAGTTGCCATCATCCCAGACCAGAGGGCAGCTCTGGGACTGTTGGACCCCGCCCTTGAGGCAGAACTAGACAATGTCCTAGATGAAATAAAAGCCGCAGAGGAGGCGTCTGAAGTCGTCGCACCCAGGGTTGCCGTTGCGACAGACCAGAGGGCGGCCCTGGGAGAGCTAGACCCAGCCCTCCAAAGCCTAATGAAAGCCATGCAAGAAATCCCTGAAGGGATTGCGGACTCCCCAGCTGAGCCCGAGGAGGTGTTCACCCAACCCGAACGTCCAACATGGAAGGTCATTCCCCTGGAGCGCTCTACCCCACTCAGAGCAGGGGAACAGTTCCAACTAGATCCTCGATTGTTTGGCCTGGGGGCGCCCTCTGCCCAAGGTCATCTCAATACAAATACCTCCAGAGAAATGGCCAAAATCCGGCTCACAGCTATGCAGCAGCCTAACCGTAGGGTGGACCTTGTCCCCGGGGTCTCCCGCCAGGAATCCGTGACCTTCAAAAATGGAGAAATAGAAATAACCTGGAGATTGAGTTCAAAGGTTATCCCTGAGACTCAGCTTATAAACACCCCTGCAGACACCCGGAGCAGGGGTATCCAGTGCAACATGATGAGGGAAAGAACCAAACAAATACTCACAAGTGTGTTTGGTAAACCTAATGAACATTGAACATTAAATAAATTGAAGTCAACACAACCAACTACACAACTACAACCAACAACACAACTACAACCAACAAAGAAGAGGCATCGCCTAGTGACATTAATTAATTTACATTCTATTAGTGAACATTAATGATTTCTTAGGTACTTCGAGACGAAGAGTTTTTTTTGAGGGGGGCAATGTAGCATTTGCAGGGTATTAGAATGAATAATATTATCTCTGTGTTACATTTCCTCCCGTTCCTTACCTTCGTTCTTTGAGTTTCCATTAATTACTTTTCATCTCAATAATTCCTAGCTCTAAATTTCTATTCTAAGTGTCATTTTATCGTCATTGCGTATTCTACAGTATAATTTTTAGTGCCTCTCAATTTAATGTTCCATTCTCTATCTTTATTATTGTATTTAACTATCATTCTAGTCAGTATATGTCTCAAATATTCAAATGTATGACAAAAATTCATAATTCTTAATATTTCCATGGGCGCCGCCATTTTCTTTAACTTAACGCATGCGCAAGGCAGGATATTGGCATTTATTATAAAGCTGAGCATGCGCAAGTCGCAATATTAAAATTAATCATAAAGTTACGCATGCTCAAGGAAGGACCATATAAATAATTGTACATATACGCATGCGTGATCTGTGAACTAAGAATTATTTCGTCTCTAGTTTGGCGGCATATTTAAATACAGCCCGGGAATATTATAGAAGATTCTTTCTCTAACACTGACCAGACTAGACACCAATTCCTGTATTCTGAGAATCTGCTGAGAACTTAACACAAGATGTAAGCCAACATGTAATCAATGGGGGGCGGGGAATTGTAAATAAATTGTATATAATGTACATAAAATAATATTTGTCAGTGAATTGATCTATTTGATGAGAGATTAGAATCTAAGGATTCCAATATGAATTCCTGCAGGTTGCTGAAGTCCTCCTTATCCAGATATTATGCCCCGATCCAGTCTGGGCATATTGCATAACGTCACCACCAGTAAAATTAAAGCATCTACTCCGGCTCAGTATCAGCCCTTAGTGTAGTAGTTGCATCCTGATTTTCCTACTTATCCCCAACTTATACCCTATAAGGTGTTAAAATTCAGCTTTCCATGAAACCAATGAAAGTCAAAAAGATATAGCAATGAAGAGGCAAAAGAAGAATTAGCATCAAGTACTGATAAATATGACAAAATTAATAACAATGGATCGGGGATACATATTTGAACGAGTTTCGCGTAACCGTCCATCAATTTCAAAATACATTATTATGGCTTGAGTAGAACATATTAGGTGGTTTCCAATGCTCAATTGGCGTTTTATGATCGTACGAAGGTTACATCTATATACCCCGAGGTCGTTAGGCAATGTAGACCATGCCCTTAAGACAAAAATAAAAAGAAATTACTAAATTTTGTGTAGTTTTGAATTTCAAACTCAACAGTTTTTCGCTTATTTCATGTTATCCCCGGGCATCAATTTGCAAAGAATACGTTCAAAATATACATTACGAAATGCATCACCGAATGCGATGCTTACATAAATCGTTCATCCTTTCATTGATACACAGTAGTAGAAAATAATGCACCAACCTTAGTTTTCTGTTCCATCGCGGCCATTTTATTGGATAAATCAGTGATCGTAGTCGTCTAATCTCGTTTTCATAGGTGGCGTAACCGTCAAGCTATAACACCGTGGGGTTCAGAGCACTACTCCCAAAGTATTCTTTTCTATTTTGTAAGATGTTCTAAATCGACGGGGCGCCGCTGACTTTTCCCCGATGTCTTGATTTCGCCATGAGTATGGTCACATTAGTAAGTAAGTAAGTAAGTAAGTAAGTAAGTAAGGTATTTATTAGAGTCTCACGCTGTACAGTCACCATACGGCGCTCGCAAACAACTGCCAGTCACATTTGTCGTACGGCGGCCGTGCGTCGACCGTAGATCAATCAAATCAGTGAATTTCTGCGGCGAGCGTAGAAAAACTACGCTCGCTTTGCGGTCTCCGTACGGCGTATCCAGCTTTTTACAGGCCGTAGAAATTATAATTCGGAGTTATAAAAAAAAAATTTGCTGCGGTCCCCGTAGAAATCAACAATAATTATGCAAATAGATGGAGATTTGAGATCCATCCAGGTAAATGTGCAGCAGTTCACTTTACTAGAAGTAGTTTTTAAGATGTCCAACCTTTTGAATTCGGATCCGCTAAGATTCCGATAAACAAAGACCTTGTTCATCTTCGGTTACCAGTTACACAGCGGGATATAGGCTATCACTTAGACAATGTAACATCTAGGGCAAGGCGCAATTTCTATGCCACTGTAGACTGTGTCACCCCCGAAAAGTGTAGCGTAAATCCCTTACCTGCTTCTAATTTATAATTGACTGTTTCAATTCCTACCATGCTATATGGTGTCGAGGTATTAAATTATAATGTATCAAATATTAAAACTTTAGAAAAGGTGCATGCCAATTCGGCCAAGTCAATTCAATCTCTTCCAAAGAACACAACTGACATGACTGTGCCACGATTGCTCAACTTGATTGGACTGGTATAAGCGGAACTATTGCAATCAGGAAGCTCATGTATTTCTGGCTCATCTTTAATACTAGTGTTGGTATTTGTAAGAAGTTAAGTATCTTTAGATGGTATGCTATACTATATAGCTTCTTCGTAGATAAATGTGCTGTAACAGTTTCATCACCAATTAGGGAAATTATACAACTTGGAATGCCAGGGCCGTCAGATGGGGGGGTGCGATGGGTGCGACCGCACCCCCCTTTGTCACCCCCCAAAAAAAATTTGAAAAAACAATTTTTTTTTGAAAAAATATTTTTTTTGTAATTTTTTTTTCATTGACTCATACACTTTGAAAGTACCCAGAGAGCACCAAATAGCATCTTAAAATTGTAAAATTTTCTAGGGGTATTGGCCACCCCTCACCCCCCCCCACAAAACAATGGAAAAGTTCTAAATTTATTTTAGAGTTTTGTCTCAAGACACTTTCTAAGTGCCCAGATATCATCAAATAGCTCCTTGATATAGTTAGTGTTTCTGGGGGACTTACTCCCCCTCTTGCATCTTGCACTTGCATAGCCTCCCCCCCCTCTGGCGCCCCCCCCCAAAAAAAAGTGATTTTCTCAAATTCTTTAATTGACTCATACACTTTGAAAGTGCCCAGAAAGCACCAAATAGCGTCGTAAAATTGTAAAATTTTCTAAGGGGAGTGGGCCACCCCTCACACCCCCAAACAAAACAATGGAAAAGTTCTGAATTTGATTTATGTATTGTCCCCCCCCCAAAAAAAAAGAAATTGAGATTTTTCAAATTTTTTTTATTGACTCATACCCTTTGAAAGTGCCGAGAAAGCACCAAAAAGCATCTTAAAATTGTAAAATTTTCTTGGGAAATAGGCACTTTTAGGCACAGACAATTTTAAAGTGCCCAAACTTCATAGAATAGCACCTTGATATTGTAAATTTTGATATGGGGGACAAACACTTGCTCCCCCTCTGGCACCCCAGCCCCACCTCCCCCTCTGGCACCCCTCCCCCCTTTGACACCCCCCAAATTTGAAAAAATTGTGATTGTTTTACAATGTTTTTATTGACTAATACACTTTAAAAGTGCCCAGAAGCACCAAATATCATCTTTAAATTGTAAAATTTTCTAGGAGAGTTAGCCACCCCTCACATCCCCACAAAACAAGAGAAAATATTCTGAATTTCATGTATTGTCTCAGACATTTTTTAAGTGCCCAGACATCATCAAATAGCACCTTGATATGGTCAATGTTTCTGGGGGACAACCCCTTGCTCCCCTACTGGCACCCCACCCCACTTCACCCTCTCATCCTCTTTGACACCCAAAAAAGAATTTGAAAAAAATTCACATTTTTCTTATTAACTCATAACGCACAGGCGTACCAGATGGTTGCAAATTCGCTCCAAATACACAACCAAATTTCAAAATTTTCCTGGGGGAGAACCCCCAGACCCCCCTGAATGCTCGGTTTTTTATTCACTCAACTCTTATACCCGTGGTGGTGGCGTACTACTTAGAAACTTACACTTTGAAAGTGCCCAGAAAGCACCAAATAGCATCTCAAAACTGTAAAATTTTCTAGGGGGAGTGGACCACTCCTCACACCCCCCACAAAACAATTGGAACGTTTGGAAGTTGCATGCATTTGTTAATTCCAAACCAATATAGGGAGTAACTGACCCCCCCCCCCCCTCTGTCTTACGCGATTTGATTTACGCGGCAAAAAAATGACAATTTTATATTCCCTTTAGTAAGCTAAAAACCGCACCCCCCTTGGAGAAAAGTGTCTTACGGGCCTGAATGCAATATGATCTTATACATGTTATAGGAAGAATGGATAGCTATATTTCTAATAACACATTTCCATCCAAGTGGCACTGGAAAAAGATAGTGAAAAGTTCTGTTCTTACAAAGTCTCTGCAAAGATGGCGTTTTCAATGTATGACATATAATAAAATCAAACATTATAGAGAAGTAGTAACTACTCGTACTCCAATAGTCTGGTACCAGCTATGTAAATACAAACCTGAAATGATATTCAAATGTAAACTTATGGTGAGTCTACTGGTTGGTGAAGGTGTTGGTCGTCATACCGAGCCAAATGTGAATAGGGTATGACCAATGTGTAATTTGCATGAATCATTGTTACATTTTATTAAGTTTTGTGATGTGCTGGAAACAATTAGAGATCCTATACGACCTTACTTAGGCGGAAGTGACCTAAATGTAATTGAAAATATGTTTGCCCCATGCAAATGAATATGATGATTGTATTATAATAGCCAGGACAGTGTATCATATGTACCAACTGAGAACTAGATTTCTCAATTCTCTAAACGTCCTGCACTAAACAACTACTGTATATTTTGTTATATTTTTGTATGTTTTTTCTTCATAACCTTTTATAACCTTTTATGTTAAACTATATGTATATGATCAGAATTGGTCGCAATAAAAAAAATATATAACAAGCCGTTATCAGACAGCAGAAAGGTCCAACAGTGGCCGCACGTCGGGTTTGCCGTTGATTTGCGTCTGCTGTAGGGTTTGATGGGTAATGTACCTTTGAAAACAATTTTTTGCAGTTTTCGTTCATATCTTTGCTGTAAACACAACACAATACGTATACTGTTTGATGTAAGGTCACTGATGCCACAGCAACTTATATATGATACTATACTATTGATACTATATCCTACCACTTCAAACTTCTTTATAAATTGTGCTGATGTAGATATGAAAAGAATTGCGTTTTTCATCATGATTTAATTCTTTTGGATTCCTTTCAAGCGGAATATAATGCGATGACATTAGATTTTTAGTAAAAAAAAGTTAAATTCCGAATCGCGTACCGTAGGCTACATCGGGTTTAATGATTTTGTTACCAATATCATATTGAAGAATAAAGTCAGTATCTTGCAAATACATATGATATGGACGTGAAAATGCGGCAACAATGTCAATAAATAGATATTTATAAAATGTGTTCTACTTTTGAAATCCGAGTAAGTATGAAGTAGAAAGATTACTCTCGCCTATTTAATGTGCGGAAACGAAATCATAAAAGATAAGTGACATCTATACTTTTTATCAATACGTTACATACTGACGAAAGTCCATTCGTAATATAATTATATAGTGACGAATCACTTGATGATACCAGGCTGAAACAAGATGCAAGGCAGGAGGTACCGAATAGGAGCAATTGTTGGTTTTTTCATTTTAGTTGGTTTTGCACTCGTTTACATGCACAAAATATCAACAATGCAAACCGATGTACTAAAACAACACCAGGAACAAGATACACATGACAAGGATAAATCATCACAGATCCGAGAAATTCAAACCCAGGTAGATTACGGAGATGAAAAATTCACAAATCTATTTCACTCTCTTCAGCATAGCAATACAAGAAAGGGTATATCCACCAATTGTATAACAGGTGCAACAATGAGGACATCCAGATTTCAAGTCTGTTTTACATAAAGACACGCATGATGCTATCGTTCCAGAAATGGATGTGAAAAGAGAAGATGCATTTGTACACATATTCAAGAAACACAAGTGGGGGAAAGGGGACGGCACAAGTGACTTACAGGTGTCAGGTAAGCATTTGCGTAGTTCATATTATGTTTTAAACGTTTGCGGTGTTGAAAAATGCATCAAATCTTTTTCAGGTACCAGACATAATCCACCATTTTCTTTCCTCCTTTTTGGAATGTCATAAATACAATGTGGGTACCATTTTGTTTTTATATACAGTAGAGCAAAATGCTCATCTTTTCAGATAACATGATAAAAGAGAGATATTCTTCAAAATCAAAGTATAATAATGAGATAAAATTATATTTTTTGTGTTCTTTAGAAATTGTTTTATCTCATCTTTTTTCTAGTCTTCGTTTTCGTTTTGGAAACATAAGGGTTGATAGATGACATTGACCCTATAAGATCTTATTTTGTCTTTTTTTCAAACCGTTATTTTGAATCAAAGGTCCATGTGCAGTATGGCAAGTGGTTTTAGACGGTCATATATTTCACCATGAGTACTTTCTGGACATAAATACAGTGTTTTTTATTAAAACAATATGTTTTCTTTCAATTGAAGTCCCCATGATGATAAAAAGATCAATCGAACAATTCGAAAACTTATAAATATGGACCCCTCGTCAACTATTTTTTCAAAATGTTGAACTTACTTGCTCAAAAGAGATCTTCTTTTTCTGATTTTTATTGCATGAAAAGATTATTCAACAAGGGGTCTAAAACATCTTCAAAAGTAGAATGGTATTGAAAGTCTAGTTTTGAAGATATTAATTCTCGATGACCAAAATCATGTTGAAAACAATGGATAGCATGAGTTTTCCCCAATGGGAACATAACATGGGATATGTGGTTTTTAACTTTATCGCATTTCAGAAAAAAATTTCGATATATTTAAATTGAGAAAAACAGGATCCTCTTTTTAGAAAATAAGCCTTACATTTTAAAAAGAGTGACAAGGTGGGGTCCTAATTCATATTTTTTCAGAGAGTTGGATTGATATTTAACTATCACGGGGACTTCACTTTTAAGAAAACATATTGTTTTAATTAAAAAAAACACTGTATTTATACCCAGAAAGTACTTATGGCGAAAGATATGACTGTCTAAATCACTTGCCATACTGCACATGGACCTTTGAATCAAAATAACGGTTTGAAAAATCAATGTTTTACCTTTCTTAAGTTGCTGAAGGTAAGCAAAATTCGAATCTCAAAAGGCTAGGTCAGATATGAACTGCTGGCAACTTGTAGATGATGTTTAAGAGAGCTTTGTTCAATGTGATGCAAGCTGAAATTTGAACTCGAAAATTTAACGACTTTATGGATGATGGGTGAGCGAACCGTTCACTTCAGGTTTATAATGGTACTTTTAACATGGTTTGAGACTTTGCATCTCTGTGAAACTTGTCCCATGCCATCAATGTCTAAAGACAATTTAATTCTCCAAATATCAAATTCATGCGATTTGCGGTTGAAGAAAAATTCGCACTTTTGTGTCTTGGAAAATGATGTGTATGCGAATGAATCGAATTTCACGAAAGATGTGTGGGCGTTTCCTACAATATGTTTCCCCTGAGACACTTCTGCAAACTAAGTATTGTATTTTATCGTATGATCTGTATAATGAAGCCATCTGATTGGTCAGTTTCTGTGCTGTACCAATCTGTATTGCTTTTGAGATTGTCCCCATTGATCATCTCCGGAGCAATACCGAAAATATTGGCACGGAAGGGAAATCTCAGTAGCAATACAGAGAATACAGAATATTTCCTAGGGATTATCGCCTAAGTAAAATGTATTGACCCAAGATCACAGGATAAAAACGTTATTGAATGATTTGAAGTGCAATACAGGATATATTCTGTCTCGATATTCTGTATATTTTTCTCATTCAGGCTTTAAAGTTCATTCATTCATTTTCCAAATCAATCATTCTGCATTGATTATAGACATGTGTTTGCATGAGTGCTGTGCATAAACATAACATTATGGTGTTAAACTTCATATTAATTTATTGAAAACAGTCATATCATCTGATTTACTTTAATATTTTCAAAATCTCCTATTTCATGTCCCCTTACCAGCCTCAAAGTTGTATTGGGCAGTATCAATACCTACAATGCTGTATGGTGCTGAGCTGTTCTAACTTATAAAGCATCTAATATTTTAACATTGGAAAGAGTACATTTACAGTCTGCGAAGTCAATTCAATCCTTACCAAAACAGACAACAATTGTGCTTCCCTTGCACAACTTGGATGGGCAGACATACACTCCCCTCCATAAGTTTGGCAACCTTTTTTCCCCATTGAACTACGTGTTAAAGCCTCTTTACGTTTGAATTTTTATTTACTTCACCGGCGATGAAATAACTAATAATATTAATGGAAACGTCACTTGACTTTATTTCCAATACCTCCAAATTTTCTCAATCAGGATATCTTTTCAGTAAAAGATTCAGCAAAAAATATTTTTGTATAGAAAATTGAATTGTCTAACTCTTTTGAACACTAAGTGATAAGTTTATTTGATGAATATTAAAGTTACAGCGCTTCAAAGTCATTTTTGAAAATAACTTTTCGCCTCCTGTGTTATTTCAATGGGAGAGGTTTTTGAAAAACAATTTTGACTTTAAATAAAGCCCTATAACTTTGTTGAACCTGAAGAAACATATCAATTTTTTGTTAAATAAAGTTAGCAAATTCAATTGCCTGCCCAATTCGTATTTTTTTGCAAGGACTCGGATGGATGGATATTCTGTCATATGACTTGCGGCAAACCTACTATTTCCCATTGGTTAACATGGAAATGTCGATTTTCAAAAATTCATCAAATTTATCATCAATTTTCGACCTATTGTAATTGAGGAAAAAAATTGAGAAAATTTGGAGGTATTGGAATTAAAGTCAAATTACGTTTCCATCAATAGTATAAGTATTTTCATCGCAGGTTAACTAAATAAAAATTCAAAGGTAAAGAGGCTTTAACACGTAGTTCAATGGGGGAAAAAGGTTGCCAAACTTATGGAGGGGAGTGTAAGTGACATAATTGCAATAACAAACTAATGTACTTTCTGCACATTTTTAATACAGGTGCTGGTAATTGCAAAGAACTATATATTTTTCGATGGTAAACTATATTATACAGTTTCTTTGTCCAACCGTCCATATGTTCCCCAATAAGGGAAATTGTAAACCTAGGAATCCAGTATGACTTATTAGGTAGAATGGGAGGTTTTTCCATCAAAATATCATTGGAAGAAGATAGTCAAAAACTATGTACTTAATTTTTCGACTCATATATGGCATATAAGATGCTTAACATACAACTAAATTAAGCAATACCAAAAAGTGGTCACTACCCGATCACCTATTATATGGTACCAATTGTGCGAATATAAGCCAGAAATGATTATATAAATGCAAGTTAATGATACGTCTCCTAGTAGGTGAAGGTGTTGGGCGTTACTCAGAACCACATGTAAATAGAGTTTGTCCAATGTGCAACTCACCTGACACCTTGGCTCATTTTATAAAAGAATGTGAAATGATTGAATATTTAAGGGGTCCGATTCGTCCATATTTATTGGCAAATTACGTCAGCTTTGTTTGCAACCAGTAGTTATGATGATTGTGTCCTGATTGGAAGGACGATATATCAGATGTACCAAGAGAGAATTAAGTCTCTCACCCTGTAATAATTAACACTTAAAATGTATATTTCATTTTTATTTTCTTACATTACATTGTATTAATATAAATTGATTATGCATGATGATCAGAATTGGTCGCAATAAAGAAATATATATATTCCACAGAATCGTCAATTTAATACCTCACTTAAGTTACGTAAACGGAACTTCGAAAAACGGGTAAGATCTGCATTTCTAACCGATTCCGTTTGTGATAAAAACTGTCGTGAGAATTCTCCACGCAACGCGTGAAATAAGGAAATGAAAGGACCCACGGTCCCGTGCTCACACAGTTTGGAACCTTCAGAGGAATGTATATCCGGACTTTCAAACAAAAATATTGATTTGGATTTGTAGTTTCGAACTTTGAGGAACCCAGATAGCACAGTTGTGTGACCTTGAAAGTTTTACTTAGTCAGAGCTCAGTAGGGTATTTTGTGATTAAGCTGACCAAAATTTATATCCAAAAATCAATTTAAAAATCAACTTTTTTGACCTTTCGAAGGCCACTGAAGGTAAAGTAAAGGTCAAATCCTAAAACTAATTTGAACTCCTGTTCTGCAACTTGTAGATGATTTTCAAAAACAAAATTGGTCAAATTGAAGCTAGTTGTAGGGAATGCTTAAATCTAGTGATAATGTAATTCATTGCAAGAAATGATCAAGTATAAGGCAAACGTTGAGAAACTTGTCAATCACAAAACCTGCCAATACATGAGAACGTTTCCTGAAAATGAAGTCCCACTTTTTGTCAAATTTTATAGAGTAAACACCAAAAACGTTTAATTCCAAGAGCTTTGAAATCTTCAGAGGACATAAGTTGCATATTAAGCAACTACTACAAGTTATTTGAAAGTTTTTCTTCAACAAAGTGTCTAGTATTCACAGAAATTTGACTTTTTGACGTCAAAATCAGCAATTTCTCGGAAACCGGGCGAACTTGGGAAATGGCGATGATAGGTCAAATAGGCATTATGGATATGCATAAAATGAATGTGGATGACTCAATCCGAATAGCACTTTTAATTTGTGCGGCCAATGTTGACGGACGGACGGACCAATGGACGGACGGACGCCTGGTCGATCCCATAGGCTCACTGTTAGAGCCAAAAAGAAAATGTAGGCCTACGCTGGTTACCGAAACGGACCAGTGACTATTTCAACACCAGTTTTTGTCTACTCTGGTGAAGTGAATTTGTTTGTTCGTAGAAATGTGGTGTTTCTTAAAAAACGACACTGACTGGTTGACTATATTTCAGCATCTTTTTTGTCTACTTGTAAAGTGAATTTGTTTGTTCGTAGAAATATGGTGTTTCTTAAAAAGACGTGGCAATTATCTCCTCGCTAGCATTGTAATTGTCCTTTCCCGTCTGTTTTCCCGGTCTTCCTCGTATATTTGACCCGCTGGCCTTATCCCCACTTTTCCTAGAATTTGCCATGTTACGTTGATACAGTAAACTTTCGTTCCCAAAGTGTGGCCCTTGAAAATACTATACTCACAGATTTTTTTTAATGAAATGCATTATTGAATTGAATATACTGAGAAAAAGGTATCACTCTGTTCATTAGGATTTAATTTCAAGACTGACAAGCTAAGGACGAAAAGATCCACCCACTCACACGACCAACCAAAATGTGTCATTGTTTTTTTTATTATTATTTAGTTATACATGTACAGGGTGGGCCAAAAAACGCCACTTTTTTCAAGACACAATAACTTTTTTATTTTCCCACCTACATACCCAAAACGTTGCAGTTATATAGTTCCAGGGGTTCTTAGTGATAATATAATGTAACAAGTCCTTCAACTTGGATAATATTTGATCTAACAGAGGAATTCAATTGGTCCGCCAACATATTTGATGATAGATTTTAGTTTAAGTCGCCTTGCTAATATAGCAGTACCAATGGAATGTTCCCTAATTTTTTTCAATACGTCTTAATTGCCAGCTTTAGAGCAATTTTTTAGATTGGGTGCCTTCATACAATCTCCTGGGGACCTTCCCATACCCCATACTCACTTTGGTTTGCATCAGGGATATTAGCTTGGCGGTCATCAGGCCATATCAGTTCAGGAACATTTTGCAAAGTATGCTTATAATTATTTCTCATGGCACACCACATGTTTAAGTGAGATGCTGGTGACATATTTTTTCTAGTAAAAGTGTACAATTCATGATCCATGGCTAGATAACAACTTCGAGTTTCATTTGGTATGCAAATTGTGATTTTGTACCAAAAATCGAAAAAGTTATAGCATTTAAATCTGAGCAAAGAAGGGCTCTTAGAACCCATAGACCTTTCCAGATACCGGTAAAATCAAGCACTCGACTAAATAATGGACCAGTGCTAAGATTGATTTTGAATGGAATAGATTCTCCAGAGGTTTCCTTAGGTTTATTCCCGTATGTTATTTTTAACGAAGGACAGCCTATAACGACTGCTATACGCAAAAAGATGCATGAAATTAAAGTTTCGAAACTGAAAGTTGAAAAATGGCGACTTCCCGTGTTCTATGCGCAGGTGCGTTCAATCCAGCAATTTGATTAGTTCATATTATATGAACGCATGCGCAATAACTACACATATATTTTTAGATAGATTTCACTTGCGTTCATTATTTCAAAGCAGTCCCTTCCCATGATGCACCTAATATTGCGGAAATATTTTCATTTAGTGATAAAACAAATAACTCTCATCTTCGAAATACGTTTTCCATTCCTTGGCAATAATCTTTCATTTGGTATCTAAGTATAACCGAACCAACCGCCGAAAAGTAATTCGAATCCTTCTGAATTGTGGGAATGAAGTACTTTCATTTTTGCGCATGCGCATAGAACACGGGAAAGTCGCCATTTTTCAACTTTCAGTTTCGAAACTTAATTTCATGCATCTTTTTGCGTATAGCAGTCGTTATAGACTGTCCTTCGTTAAAAATAACATACAGGAATAAACCTAAGGAAACAAAGAACTCTAGGAACTACCAATTTTTAACAGTGGACGTGTCTTGGGGAAGAAATCGACTCTGGAGGTAATAATTTGGCTTCCAAAAAAGTCGGTACTTGCAGTGTAATCACTTCTTTACATATTCTTCAGATATCTCAGCAACAAGTGGATGGATTGCTAATATTTTAGGTAAGTTTACTCTGTAGTGTTGTTTGAATCAGCATGTCGATTATTGAAAGGATTCCATATATTTTTACTTGATATATCTAACAATCATTTTCTACAAATTTCAGGTAGCATCAAAACCGACCACCCTTACTATTAATAAGCAGTAGACTCATCGGAGGGATTGCCCGACGCCTCGAGACAAGCCCCTGTGACTTCAATACAACATCTAAACTTAATCTTTCTCGAAAACAAGTATTTACTTTAAATAGAATTAGATGTGGACTCTATTTTGAATGACAAGGTTTGCTCATAATTTCTCATAATTTCCCTAGCCTGATCTGTGGTAAGAGTGCAACTCCTAAACAGTCTGTGTAACAATGTCATCAGCTGAAAGTTCAGTGAAGCGAAACGTTTTTCCGACTTTCGTCTGTCATATTGGATTTTTTACTCGTTCATGAAAACAATGTGCATGCTTCAAATTGTTTCCTTATATTTACAGATGCGGGGTTTTTATACTCAAATTATATAACCCGAAAGCCGGAAGTTTTTTCAGGAAAAGGTATTTTAAAAGAATCAAGACATATGCACCTCCATAAACATTGCTTCAAATGTTGCTGCGCTATAGTGTGCTAAGGATCCTTCATATACGGAAGTCATACCATGGACTATAGCTTACATTTGTTTTGTTGTTTTTATCTTCAGGGGAAGGATCAAACCTCAAGTTTGCTCAAGAAGCAATGGCGGTTCTACATTCTGTTGTGGACGAATACAAGATACTGAAAGGAGTGAAAAGAGTTCGCCTTTTGGATATACCCTGTGGTGATATGCAATGGATGTCCCGTTTCCTAGCAACAAGGGGTGACATAGATTATTTTGGAATGGATATAGTACCTCAACTGATAGAATTACATGAGAAAAAATTTAAAGACAAACCTTGGACATTCAAGCAGCATGATATTGCAAAAACAGCCCTTGTCGAATCGTATGATATCATTCATTGTCGTATGATGCTACAACATTTGTCTGCTTCCGAGACACTAAAAGTCCTTGAAAACTTCTCCCGAAGTAAATCAGGTTATCTTGTTACGACTACATTTCTGACAACACCTTTCAATAAAAAAATCGATGCAGGATCGTTTCTACTGCTTAACCTTGAAATTCCTCCCATATCACTCCCTCCTCCGTTATGTTACCAAAGAGATGGGGATCCATCTAGACGGGTTTATCACTTTCTAGGAGTTTGGCCATTACCACTGAAATACATTGAGGAGTGTAGCCAAGTAGCAGTCAAAATGGGAGTGCTACAAGATGAGAGGAATTCGACCATTTATACATGTATTTGAAGACTATATTACAGACAGTTTAAGATAAATCAGGTTACATATTATAATCGAGTTACAGGGAACAGGCCCGTAGCCAGGGGGGAGTCGATGGGTTCGGTTTCTCCCCTCTCTCGTTCCTTGGCCAAAAAAGTTCAAAATCATGCAGTTTTTCACCATTCTGAGCACTTTTCAAGTGATTTTGACCACTTTAGGGCCAAAGTAGTCAAAAGTGAAACACAAGTTGGATTTTTAAAAAGTGAACACCACCATCGAGAATCATGGCTACGGGCCTGGGAAATAATTCCTATTTTCTATGTTGTAAGATGTTTGGACAGATATTCTGCTGAAACAGTGCAAACAAATAAGATCATTTATTAATTTGGAGAATTCGAAATTACACATTGTAGACTTTGAATCTTAGCTTTGATCGAGTAACTTCACCATTTGATAAAGACATCATTGATCTTTTGTCAGTTTGCAGTATCAAAGTTGCTCTGTCGATAAATAGATAGCGCTTCCATAATCCATATATATTTTCACTAATAATGTATGAAACGAGTTCAGAGCATTACTCCCAATTGCAAGGTATTCGCTATGCTGTAAGATGTTGGGACAGATCTAGATACGTACTAAAGAAGTGGGCATCAAGCCCTTTATTCTGAAACTAATCATATTTTAATTAAATTTCACAATGAAGTGGACATTCTTTAAAAGATAATTATGTCTGGGCATCAAATATAATTTAGTCTGTCCGTTTAATGGATTTTTAATTGTTTGTACGTACAGAAAATGTTGATTTTCAATGTTTATTCCACCCAATAATCTGCCATATTTTAGACTTTTTGAGAAATGACTATTGAAAGGGATCTACATGTACTAATAGTCCTGTAATAAGCCTAAGATCGCCCACCTGGTATCCACTTCACCTCCAGATGTATGGTGTGTAGAGAAGTCACAATGCAGGACTTTTCAGATTATTGAAACTCATGCATACCATATTTACTTAGCAATGGGAAAATTAGAATCTTTCTGAAAAGTTATTTCTAAGATACAGAAAACTTTATTTGAACATTTTAATTGCAGAACTCTCCCTCTGATAAGTAAATGACTCATAGTGAGGAGTTCAAGGTCAATGATGAATGCGTTACTGTTGGCAGTTTCTCTTAAAATCATATATGAGGCGGCATCTTTTATGTTTCAAATACTAATTTGTGATATACTGTAAATACGTATTGAGTGAAAATATTCTACAGAGGATTTTCTACCTGTAAAACCTCCCAAAATATAATCCATTAACACGGGTAGGTCCAGTATAATTTACTGTGAAACTTCAAATGATGACAACTGAATTGATACTTGTAGCAATAAACTCGCTGCAACGAACTATTGTTTTTAATTATTGATTTTTTGTTGAATGAAAACATGACTTGGACTGCAGTTTATGAAATAAATGAGGACAATGAATTCTACTATAGTGTTAGAATTTATCTAGTTCCGTTAAAATGAATAAGAGGGCAATAAATAATATTTGAAAATAGATGTTTAACTATTGGGATATTCTCCAAAATGAGGATGTCAGTTTTTTATTTATTCATTTACTAATCAAATATATTACAAGTTGACCATGCGCTGTTATAGAACCTCAATTGGTTTAATATCATTTTCAACTCAATACTCTTTAGAAATATGGAAATATATGGACTTCACATATTTCAATATTTTCTTTTCATCATTTCCCATTTGACGATGTTTTATAAACAAATAAAATAATATTGAAAATTGGTTATTGCCCAGTTTTGAGAAATAGTGTTTGTTTATCCAAAATAGTTTTTAAGATTGGTTGGTGCAGTAACAACAGAATCCATGACATATGTCACTTATCTTCATAAGGTACCCTCATTCGAAGACCATCTCACTTTTATGTTATAAGAAATCCAACTGACCTACATTTTACCCGATCATATATGTCACTATGTGTCTCCTTTTAAATCTCTCCCGCTGTTAATTTACCATGGCTTCTTTATTTCTGTAAAAAATCAATTCATACATCGTTGATAACGTTTTTACTTATGATTTCATTCAAATTATACAATTTAGTCATTGTCATTTGTTTGGATACCTAGCAATCGCTAAGCTATCAGAGTAATGTTTTTCAACCCATAATAGCCCGCTGTTAATTTACCATGGCTTCTTTATTTCTGTAAAAAAATCAATTCATACATCGTTGATAACGTTTTTACTTATGATTTCATTCAAATTATACAATTTAGTCATTGTCATTTGTTTGGATACCTAATGGAATTGAACCTTACCCAGCCAAGCGTTTATTGAACTAAGATATATCAATTCGGTTTATTAATCAAAATCGAGCGTTCATGAATGAAGGGATGAAGAGGTTCAGACCAACCTGACAAGGCAATCTAGCTGCATGATTTTTCACTGCACGGTTGCTAAGGAACACCAGGGGGTTACTTTTTATAAGTTATATTTGTGATTTAGTTAGTTCATACGAGAATATTCCAAATCGGCCCCTAAGACAACCAAGGCATTATAGAATACCCTTTCCAATCAGTAATTCGTTCAAAAAGTCAACCATTATCAGGGCTCTGACCCTTTGGGATGACATACCATATGAGGACAGGAAAGGCCAACCAATATCTAGATTTAAAAGGTTAGTAAGAGGAAATATGAGCCCTGACTCCAGAGTATCCACTACTAAAATGAATATGACAATGCCAAGGAAAATCGAAATTCTGTTCAATAGATTTAGAGCTGGAATGATTCTAAAAGCTCATTTATATTCCCATAACTTTGTGACAGTAAATGACCCTTTCTGCGTATGTGGTGACATACAACAAACAACGCATCACTTTTTATTAAACTGCCCTCTGTTGCAACAAGAAAGATGCACTCTCCTAGCAGGACTAAAAACCTTAGGATTTTTCAATCGTTTCCAAAATATTAACTCTTATGAAAAAATTCAATTTTTATTATTTGGAGACAGAAATCTCACAGTAACTGATAATGAACAAATTATTCATATAGTTAGCCATTACATCTGCCAGGCTCTTGATATTTTAGATTAACCCCCCCCCCCCGAAAGCCTCTAACATTCCCTGCCATTAATATTATGTACCCTATCTATTGTATTTTCATTGTTTCCATTTTTATATGTTTTGTATATTGCCGACAATGTTGAAAAACGTAGGCAATAATATTGTAATGTATTTTATGTCATATATGGAATAAATGAAAAATTGAAAAAAAAACATCTTCACACAAAAAAATCCATGTTGGATCTTTTCAACCCCTTAACCTTGAAATTCCCCCCAAATCACTCCCTCCTTCATTATGTTACCAAAGAGACGGAGATCATACTAGACAGGGGCATCACTATATAGGGGTTTGGCCATTACCACTGAAATACATTGAGGATTGTAACAAAGTTGCAATGAGTGTGCTACAAGATAAGAAGAATTTGACCATTTATACATGTATTTGAGAACAGTTTAAGATAAATCTAAACTATTAGCTACCAATGATTATAAACGGGTCGTTACAGAAAATAACTCCTATGTTGTGAGATGCTTGTATGTGCTAAAACAGTGCAAGTAATATTTTATTGATTTGTAGAATTCGAAATTACATGTTGTATACTTTGAATCTTAGCTTTGATCGAGTAACTTCGCCATTTGATAGAATATCATGGATCTTTTGTGAGTTTCCGACTTTGTCATCCCTATATATTGTCCTATGTGAAGTATGTTTTATCTTTGATTCTGCCTTTAATAACATCACAGTTAGTTGCAATATCAAAGTGGCACTGTCAAAATATAGATAGCGCTTATTTCACTAATAATGTATGAAACGAGTTCACGGTGTTATAGCATGACAGTTACGTCAAGGCGATTTGCAAAATTTTGCGGTAACGATAACAAAAAATGGCGAATGGGAAAGACAGCAAGTCTTCTTTCTCGCCTGTAGGCAAGATTCACAGATAAGATTTCGGTGATGTATATATGGATGATTATAAAGACTGGGTCAAATCTGCCTGAGGGTTTACCTAGAAGCAGAATATAAGCTGTAAACTTACCGACGGAGATATCAAAGTTCATAATTTTTAGTCCATTCTTGTGTTTTCTCAGTATATGTGCCTCAAAGCCACTATTTACTGTAAGTAACTATGTATGAACAAGCCAGAAACTGACAAATCCAGAACAGGAACGTGGTGTATATTGTAAATAATAAGGTTTCAAACGCAATGTCGTTAGACGACTACGTATGTATTCTATGGACGGTAACGTATTGTATTAGTTGTACATTAGATATTTAGCGGACGGTTACGTGCATGTACACCTTTCAAGTCAAGGTTGCTAGTTCTGAGAGCCTCTTTCCATGTCATTGTTATAATGGGTAAGAAATGGAATATTGAATTGCTTATATTTGTTTTTAGGACTCGCAAGAGACGCTCTTGTTTGAGCCTCTATAGGGCAAGGAAAAAATTGTGTCTTGCTTTATTCATGAAACCAATGAAAGTCAAAAAGATAGCAATGAAGAGGCAAAAGAAGAATTAGCATCAAGTACTGATAAATATGACAAAATTAATAACAATGGATCGGGGATACATATTTGAACGAGGTTCGCGTAACCGTCCATCAATTTTTTGCGTAACCGCAAATTCAAAATACATTATTATGGCTTGAGTAGAACATATTAGGTGGTTTCCAAGAAATTACTGAATTTTGTGTAGTTTTGAATTTCAAACTCAACAGTTTTTCGCTTATTTCATGTTATCCCCGGGCATCAATTTGCAAAGAGTACGTTCAAAATATACATTACGAAATGCATCACCGAATGCGATGCTTACATAAATCGTTCATCCTTTCATTGATACACAGTAGTAGAAAATAATGCACCAACCTTAGTTTTCTGTTCCATCGCGGCCATTTTATTGGATAAATCATCGTCCAACATCATCCAACATCGTTTTCAGAGGTGGCGTAACCGTCAAGCTATAACAC